GCATAAACCTTTTAATTAAAAACCTATTCAAACACATGTTGCATCTTTTCAAATTGTACTAGAATGTATCCTGGGTTCACAGACGTCATTGCACCCACAATGTGCAAGTCATACTGTTAAGATTTTCCTAAGGAAACAAGATTTTCTAACAAAGTGACAGATCACCTTTCATTAAGTGAAAATATAGAACTTACATGGCAGTTGGAATATCACACCTAAATCCAGAGCACTACATTTCAAGAAAGTAGAAATAATGAAAGGCCAGGAGACAGCAACAAGAATTAATGAAGTACAAGAGAATAACAAACAGGGGTTGTTTAAGAGAAGAACACAGTGAAAACATGACTAAGAATCTCAAATATGTACAAGTGTGGTGCAAAGAGGAAAATAAAATCCCTGTAACCTCTAACTAACTGGTAAAAGCTAATAGGCTCAAGTAATTTACTTGTAGCAAGTTAAGTTTAAGAACAGAAAGCACAAAAAAGTAATGGGAAGACTAATGAAATGCTGGAATAGATAACTTAGGTAAGTAATCATAACAAATCTTTAGGCAGACAGGCAAGCACTCATTTAAAAAGGCAGCTTCTATTCATCCTGGCTTAGAGGGAAGAGTGAGGGAGTGGGTATGACACCATTTTGGAATAATTTTTAACTGTATGATTCTATGCTGAAGTGACCAAAGAAATGCAGCTGTGTAGTGAGTGATACCACATTACAGTATCACTTGCTGTGGGATCTTGACTTGGAAGGAAAGTCATATTCTGGAAAAGACTCAATCAATTTTTTCATGTACAAACCACTTGGATTCTTACACTATCTATGGATCACTTAGCTACACTGATCCAATACACAGCTTCTTTATTCAATAGTTTAATGATAGTCACTTTCAGGGCTGGACTATACATAACAGATGTCTAAGCCATTCATGGGATATAGTTTTTTGCTTGCTAAGAGGAATTACTTAGTAACTTGTCCCATGGCCTTAAGGCCAGACAACACTGGCAAGAGCTGCTAATAAAACCAAAATCCACATGTAGACTCTGGTGAAAATTTTTAAAGGAATTAGCTTTACAATAGTTTGCTTTAAAAATCTAGATGTACTCCAAATTCTTGATCCCATATCTCTACCTTATTATTACGTTGGGATCATTAGTTTGAGTTGGGGTTTTTTTTGTCTTTTTTGTTTGTTTGTTTTGGTTGTTTTGGTTTGGTTTTTTGGTTGGTTTTTTTGGTGGTTTTGTGGTGTTTTTTTTTTTAAATTTAAGCCTAAAATTTTTTATTGGCAGATCAACTTTATTAATCAAAATCCTGTAAAAAAGGTACAAGTCTTTGGAGGGTTAACACAAAGTAAGTAAAGAACCTTCTCTAGTCAGTTATTTTTAAAAGTGTATGATTGCTCTAATGTAAGAACACAGAATAAATGTACAGCTGCCAGTCTGATTAGCAACTAAGTATGGAAAAATGAATATTTTCCAAGTTCATTTCAATATTCCTGCTTTTTATTCTATATTAAGCAGCATATAGAAGTAGGAAAGTTACATAGCCATGCACATCCCATACATTTAAATCACTTAACACCAGGTAAATTATCCAAGGAAAGTAGAACAAACCTGCATCATGATTCACTTTTTGGATAATAAGAACTAAACTATTATGAAAAAAACGTTTTCAAAATGTATTAAGACATACAACAGCAATATAGCGAGTATCAGGTGTTCTCAAAGTTTCTACAGGTAACAAAGTAGCTCCCATTCAAAACATCGTAATTTGACAAAGTTACAAACACCTGTGCTTCAAATAAAATCCTTTAAAGTGCATCTCCCCTATACATGATTGCTCTCTGATGACGTGTACGTATTGCCCTTTTCACAAGCTTTACAAAGAGGCACAAAAAGCAACACCACCTCCACTCTTTAATCAGTAAAGGTGCCAAAAACCCACGGTCCCAAAGTGAAATGAGCCCCCGGTTTGCCCCTTGGGGTGTCCGCAGCGTACTCACCATGGCGGGCTAGTTTTGAAGACTTTCTTCCCCTCCCCCTGCACCTATGCACAATGAGGGAGAATGGAGAGCAGTTTCAGCATTAAATTTGAACTTCCCTGCTTTTGTTAGCATGAGTCACCACCTTAACATTATCTCAGCTGTAGACTTTTATCTGTGAATATCTAAACCCTGTCTTGTGGAAAACTAATTACTGAGCCACTGAGAGGCTTCATAATGTCCTGCATTTAAGTCCTGAACATCATACATAATGCATAGGAAGCAGTCTCTGCACTCTGATTACAGAACACTGTCATTAAGAGAGCAAATTAAAGATGTGAATAATTCACTGGCTGAGCTTATTGTCAGTGCTGCATTGTGAAATTAGAATTTCTAATAAGTACTGCAATTTTTTTAACCCAATTAACACAGAGAACATCTTGAGTCTGATTAGTACAATAAAAATTATTACCTTATTCTTTTGCTTCACAACAGCCAAATTAAATACTGTACTTAATTATGCAGCATTCATTGCTTCTGTGCTAGAAATAATAATAATAAAAAAAATTCTCACTATCGCTTTAATAAGACTTCTGATATTTAGAGTGCAACCGAAAAATAGAGCACATGAATCTCCTGCACAATTTCTTATCACGAAGTTACTGGTTTGTTTTTTTTTTTTCCTAAAGACTTTTAAAATCGGTTTTAATATCAGCAGTCAACCATGATGTCACTGCTGAAGTCTTCTCTGGAAACAAAAACGTATTCAGAAAAAAACACCACAAAATGACCCTTCTGAGCAGGCTCTGAATATATATTGTGAATTAACTTTCTCTGGGCTGATGTGAAGGCAGAAAAAAAAAAAAGCATTACCACTTACTGCCGTGAAACCGAATATACAAATACACAAACATATATATACACACACACACATATATAGTTTGTTTCAGAGAAGATGCTTAGGAAATATACGATGAAAAAACAGGAGCTGGATCAGCTCTCTTACCTCAGTTCCCTCTTGGCACGGGATAGATAACATCCTTTCATCCCAGAAAGGAGAAAAGTCCAATTCAACATCCAGCGTGTTGATTTTTTCCCACACGATGCCTGCTGCCATGTTAAATAAAGAAAATGATCACTGAGGTTGCTGCTTTTGTCTCCAAATATTTGAATACTGCCTTTTAGTAACAAGGACCCAAGGAACCTTCGCACATCTGGCAGCAGACACCACTGGCTGCAGCTGCTGCAATGGGATTTTTCCTCAACCCTATTTCATTTCCAGCTCCTTTTTCTTCCCCATCCTAAGGAAGTTTAATCACCGAGTATGGCTGGGGAAGAAAAAAAAAAAGAAAAGAAAAAAAAAAGGAAAGGTGGCTTTGCAATCACAAGCTTTCTCGGTTCTGTCCTAGAGACAGAGACTGCAGCAACCACCTTGCATCTTTGTCTAGTTATTTTAGCATGTGCGTGCAAGAGGGGAGGAAAAAAAAAGACTGAAAATTATTCAGGCATAATGCAATAGACATAAAGAGAGACAAAAAGACAGTGAGAGAAAGAGAGGGGAAGAGAAAGAGGGAGAGAGAGGGAGAGAGAGGAAACAGAAAGACTAAGAGAGGGAGAGGGGGCTGTCAGTGCAGATAAATCTGCATATGGAAATCAGGGTTATCCTGGGTACAGTTTTATTTAACCATGATGTACTGTTTTTTTAATTAGACAGGAATTTAAAGAAGGAAATGAGAGATTCTTACAGACGCAGGAGCAAACGAAGCATTTTGAATCATACCAGAGTTTTCACAGCAAGATGTAGCAGCAACAACAAAACTTTTTATAGCAACTTTCTTACTAGAAGCAAGTTCCATGCACTGCTGCTAATTTGCACCCAAAACTAGGCAAAAGTGGAAAAGCATTCATTTTGAAATGAAATCAAACCACAGCAATCCAAAACAATACAATATTTTTTAAAAAGTCCAGAAGCCACCAGGTGCATCGTATGCATTTTAAGCTAAGTTATGCTAGACACAGGTTTTGGGACTTTCATCCTAGACCTATTCAGTCACCCTAATCTGTGGTAACTGTCATACCCAATGAAGGTGCTTCAGTAAATGATAGGAGTGCTACCCAGCTTGAATTTCAAATGCACTAAATAGCACTTGATCAGAATTGCTCGTGTTTGGCGATGTCAAGCATTACCTGGCAGTAATTTGGATTTGGGTCTATAGGGCATCAGAAGAGACCAGAGGGACCTTTTGCCTATCTCTGTGAGGGAGTATGGGGATGAATGAACAGAGAAGGCCTAAGAGAAGAAGGAAAATGAGGTTACGTAAAGGATGAAGAAAGAAACCAGAGAAAGGTAGTGGACAGTAGGATCACAAGGGAACTTAGAGGAAATATGAGGCAAGACTACAAGAGGATGTAGTGACAGGCCAAGGATTGGGTTCAAATAGAGAGTAAGTTTAAATTAGATATTAGGAGAAAATTCTTTACTATAAGGGTGGTAAGGCACTGGAACAGGTTGCCTAAGGAAGTTGTGGATGCCCCAACCCTGGAGATGTCCAGGGCCAGCTTGGATGGGGCTCTGAGCAATATGGTCTAGGGGAAGATGTCACTGCGCATGGCAGGGGCCTTGGAACCAGATCATCTTTAAGGTCCCTTCCAACTCAAACCCTTCTGATTCCGTGATTCTGCGAGTACAAAGGAAGCTACGTCTGATGCGGGTACTAAGCAGCAGTGGCAAGGTGGTGGTGCTCAGGTGAGGGATGGCCAGACACACCACCCATGGTGGTTGGCCGGCCCCGAGGAACAGCCAGGGCAGCAGGGAAACCAAAGCGGCGCGGCGACACTCGGAGGAGGAGCCCGTGCCCCGTGGTGGGAGGAGCTGGACGGGCGGCGCAGAGGAAGGGAGTGGGCGGGCGCTCCCCCGCCGCGCGGGAGGAGCAGCGGGAGGAGCAGTAGGAAGTGGAGCAGGAGGCGGAGCAGGAGCGGGAGCATCAGGAGGAGGAGGAGGAGGAGGAGCGGCAGGAGCGCCCAATCGGCGCGGCGGCGCGTGCGCAGTGCCGGCGTGACGGTGTCGCGCGGGACGCACGGACGGACAGACGGGCGCGGGAGGGGCTCGGCCGGGGCTCGGCCGGGGCTCGGCGGCCCCGCAGCGCAGGTACGGCCGCCCTGCCGCTCAGGAACCCCACCCCACCCCACCCCACCCCACCCCACCTCCGCCGCCCCCCGTGACGGGGTGTGTTCGTGCGGGCCGTGTCCGTGGCCGCTCCCCAGGGTCCGGGCTGCCCGCCGGCGGCTCCTCTTGGCGGCTGGGGTGCTCCTCTCTTGGCGGCTCCCTCGCCGGTTTGCGGCTCCTGCCCTGCGCGCTGCAGCCCCCTGGGAGGTTTTTTGCCTGCGTGGGTGGCCAAGAGAGTCACGGTGCTGAAGTCATTGGTGCCGCGGGATCAGGGGTGTGATAGACAAGTACAGAGCTGATGGGAATTGCGGCAGGGAAGAGCTGCCCCTTTTTTGCCTTTTCTCCCAGTGTCTTCTGTCGTTTGGGGCGGTTTCGACACCCCAGGTTGAACAGGCTTTCCTTAGAAACTCATGTGGTTAAGGGCATTCCCTTCAGCTGCCTCGCCAGCTGTGCCAACACCCGTGCTTAGGGACCTGCTGTAAACTGAAGCACTGAAGTCATTCTTTCCCTTCTTGCTGCTCTGCAGGAATGTGAATGGATGGAATAAAGTAGAACAGACTGCCCACCTCTAACCGTGGTGTAAACTGGGTTTTGCAAGAGCCGTAACAAAATCTGCCATTAATGAAACTGAAAACTTTAAAATTTAGAGTTTTAGTTATATTATTTGCATAGTTCTGTGGAACTCTGTGACACTTGTTGCCTGGTTCTGCTCTTTTAATATGTTGTATAAAATATGAATACCTTATGCTAACTACACAGTGAACTTCTTTTGGATGTGATAATTCTTCTTTGTTTTTGTTTCTTTTTTTTTTTCAGATTCCTGGGTAATAAGACTTTTTTTTAATAAGAACTTCTAACTGTGTGAGAATCAGTGGTACAGTAATTTTCTGAACTTTAAAACTCAAGCATTTCAGGTTCTGTAATTGTCACGGAGTTCTATTTACTGCTTCCTAGAAAGAGCTTAAGCTGTTATGTTGCCTTAAAGTTATGGGCAACCGGGAACCTGTAGTGCATGATGTATTTTTATAGCATAACTACCCTGGTCATAAAATGAAGTGTTGCTGCAAGTAGCTCACCCATGCCTTGCAATGCATTTCTGCTTCCTGTTTTACCCTATTGGTAGTCTAACCTCATGGCTAGTTAATTTAGATAGCTAAACCAGAAGGAAATGAATCTATTCAGGGTTTTTTTTAGTTACTGATGTGAGTTCTTTAACAGGGTGTGATGGAAGAAGATGAAGTTGCACAAAGCAGCAGAATTCTGCGGCAGGGTGTGAGATCATGATTGCGTTTTTTTGGTGCTATCTCTCAGCTTTTAGTTTGATGTTACAATTAGTCGGATTTGTGTCCTCGCTTGAGCTGAAGGATTATGCAGAGTTGTAACAATGAGAAATTTATTTGAAGAAACACTATGAGTATTTTTACATTTATCTATTTATTTTCTGGGTCAGGTGGAAACAATGGAGGATGACTTTGAGGCTTCGTGCACACCCCCATTTCTCACTGAGAGCTTGGAGATGGCAATGGAAGTGGAGAAGGAGAAGCCACCTTGTTTTTCTTGTGCTTTTGACAACCAAAATGGAGGGAGAAACTTCTCTACAGAGTCTTATTTAGCAAATGGGTCTCTTAAGAGGTATGAGATTTTTTTGAATTACAACTATAAGAATCCTTTAAGATGTTCTCTCCGCTCATGTTTGGTGCCTCTGAATTCTGACAGGTTTCCAGATCAGTTTGTTCTTTAGCTCTTTTGGTCCTGAGATCAACTTGGTGGTATACTAAAGTGGGGAGGGCAATTGTGTTGATAAAGAGCTTTGAACGGTGTTCTAGGTCCAGTTCCTAGCTTTGTGAACTTGCTTTTAAGGTACTGCAAAGCATATGTTTACAAGCCTGTTAGGACACTTCAAAACTGGCCTGTTGGACAACAGCATCTGAGATCACGTAAATCTCTGATGCGGCTTCAGCACTGCATTTCCCAGTCAGATGCTCTATTAAATGCTGGCCCTTTCTTTTCCACACGGTAGAAACAAACCTGCTCTGCCCAGTTGCCCCAAATTGCTGACACTATCCTTTGTAGCTTTAAGACCATCTTCCTCAAAGCTTTGCCTTTGCATGCATTCTGGATTTAAGGTTCAGAAATCACGTGCTTGGCAAGTATTTTCCGTGATATTTTAAAACATTACTTTGGTTTAGTTATTATCTGCTTTACTGTGTGGGATTCAGCTTAGTTTTCTTGCCATTTGCTCGTCCTACAGGGGTTGTCTTGTTTTGCCTGCAGAAGCCTAATCTTTCTGTCTGTCTGTCTTCCTGCCAAACCTTATATTTTGTGTTATTTTGTTTATAACCTTCACTTCCACAGCCTTTTGTGTAAAACCTTGAAGGCGATTCCACTGCACCTCCCCTATTCCCTACCTTATTTATGATATATTTTAGTTGGATCGTAGCGCATTCATTCAAATTGATGTCAAGTAGAGGGCTGAGGGAGCTTGTGTCTGCATGAACATATCAGTACCAAATTCCACAGTGACAAAGAAGCATTTCACTGAAATAGTTTCTGTCATTAAAACTCACTCAGGAGCTTGTATGTAGGCAGGTTTCCCAGTCACTAGTTGTGATATTGTTCTCCTCTTATGTATTTACATTGTCTTCCTGGACTGTAAAGTCTTGGAAAAGCCTGTATGTGAGGGACTATTCTGTCTTCATTTTGTAGAACAGGAGTAGCTGGATTTAATTGCTAAAGACTTCAAAACAGTCCAGTGTTTAAGAAGTTACCAAGTGAACTAGAGGTGTTATGGGAGATTAAGCCAATTATTTAGCTGATGATGACTCTTTTTGCTTCTGAGAACTAAATTGGTAATAGTGCATAGTTCAAGGAGAATATTAATTGGTGTGTAATATAATACAAACTAAGTACTTGCCTACTATATATATATTTTTTTAATTTTTAAAATAGAAATATTTCTTGCATATTGGTGAATTGAGCTTCATCTCTATGGTAGTATTTTATGAAGAGCTATGGGAAAATTCTGACATAATTTACTTTGATGTTGTTATTACTCAGCTTGCTGTGACTTTTTTTTTTAAAGTATGTTAATGAAATATTTTTCTTTTTCACAACTAGTAATGTTTTAACAATACAGGTGTGTGATTTTCTACTCTTTAAACAACATCAAAATGTGTTGTGGTTATGGCCTAGTGTTATAATGTTAATATAAAGTTATAATGATGAGGTCACATTTTGACCCTCATCTGTTCACTTGCCTAAAAGTGTGTTTTTATCAGAGTTTTCTGTATAAATATTGTTAAATGTATATAAAGGAACTAATGTATGTTCTAGCATTAGTTATTAGGCATGTAGTGTGCACTGAGACAGATTCCAGACATACAGTTACGGTGGAGCATGTTGTCTTATGTAGCAGCCCTACCTGTAAGGACAGATGAATTCATGTTATGTCTCAGCCACTGTGTAAGGATGAAGATGCTTCAAGGTGGTAGCTTGTTAATTTTTGTTTCAAAATGTGTTGCGACCTGTGACTATATCCTGTTTTCATGCCCTTGAAGCTAGGAGTTGACATATACTATGTATCATATTGCTGTAAAATGTAAACTGTCTTTTGAGGCATATGTAGGATACATGTTGCTGATGTATTCAGAAAGCATCAGTGATACATAAGCCAGCTGTAGGTATTGTATTCCTTAGATTTATTATTAAGGAACGTATGAATATTGTTGGCTCTATTTTACAGGGTTTTGCTGAGACTAGATCCTTCTCCAAATAACTATGAAGAAGATGTAGTGGAAATGTTTGGCTTTCAGTGGGTTACTGAAATGGCATTAGTTGAATCCTGTGAATTTCTCTTTGGATTACTTAGGTATGATAACGTTGTATTTTATAATTAATCCTTTTCTGTAATTATACCCACTTTAAAGATGTAACAAACTTCTCAGTTTTTTGATAGTAATAACATAAAAGACTGTGGGCTATGCAATGCATCTAAAAAAGATAATGCTGTCTGTTTAATGCTCCAGTAAGTGATGGATAAGGCACAGGTGGGATTGCAGGAAGAAGTACATTGTGTCACTGATTTTTAATATTATGTGACTTAATAATAAGTTTCTAAGTAGTGCAATACATATCTTAGCCATCACTAGATAAAGAATTTTTAAGTATAGTTGTTATAAGAGAGTATTGGGGTTAATTTAGAAGGCTCTAGCTTCAGAATATATGAATAAACTATGTAAGATTTCCCTGAATGAGACTGTGCTACCCATATAATTGAAGTTGTCTTTTGAAGATTTTTAGTCCTTTTTTGTGCATAACGGAAAGTGAAGGTTAAAAATCAAATACTATAAATGCTGGATGCAGCACTTTCTTCAATTGTTTGGATTAGGATAGCTTCAGCAATCTCTTCAGATACAGTTACTCAGTGTTTGACTAATTCAATGTAGATGCTTAATCTGGTCAATGCAAATACACAGATCACCGATAATCCTCTTTGCTACTGATAATCCTCAGAATGTACAGCACATACAGAGAGTGGATGGGAGAGAAGCTTTTGTATGATTCCACAAATATATGTGATGTATTTCATCATTCCTTTTATTGTAGTGGATTCTTCCATCCCTTTAGGGTATGACCAAGTGAAACATGATTAATAGGGTCTGGCTTATTGAAACATGATGGCATAGATGGCAGGAAGTGTATTAAAACCGGTATTATTTAGTTTTACTTGTTTGATGCAAACTCCAACTTTACTGTATTTTAAATAAATAAATAAATAAAAAACCAACCTGAAAACAAACTGATAATGAAGGAGATTTAACTTTAACTTAGTTAAAAATTTCAGCATTTAGTCTCATTTATTGACTGTTCATTAACGTAAAATCACTGGGCAGGGATACAGCAATGCAGTTGGTCTGTTGAATTAAACCAATTTTTTTTTCTCTAATGTAAACTGCTCTATAATTGTAATAGAGATGAACATAAGGCATAATGTTTGTAGTTTTTAAGTCATTCAAACTGTACATGTTTTAAAACTTAGTGAACTGGTAGGAATAATGGATTTCAGCCGACTCTCGGCTATTGAAAGTTTGGTTGCTAAACTGTCTTTTGCTGTGACAAGTCCCTCTGGAAAGATATTCTCTCAGTTCATTTGTTTAGTCATAAAATGGAACACTTTCATTTATAGACCAGCTGACAACTGAAAGTAGGATAACTCTTCTTTTTCCACTGTAGAAACCGTATGTGTTACGTACAAGTTACAGTCATTCTTGAGGATAAGGTGGCTGTAAATAGTTCAATTTATGAAGTACAGTTAATGTCTGTGTTTAAATACGTGCTTGCAGAAACCTGGTCTTTTTTAATGTCTAAGTATAATATTAAAGATTGTAATTTAATGTTTTTAATATTGTAATAAATAATAATAGTATATCGCAGAACTGCAAGTTAAAGCAGTAATTGCGTACTAATAATAGTTATGGGTTTTCGTGTGATAGAATTGTGAGTCAAAGTGAATGAGAGCTATGTAACCATTTAAGTGAGTATATTAAAACAATATATCTTTGATTAATAAAGAGGTGTACCAGTTTGATTTGCAAATAAATATTCTGACACTTATTTAATGATTAACAACCATGAGGATCACTCTTTCAGGTACAAATGCAAATTGAAATTAAAATGATTTATTTAAATTATGGTATTTACGTTATGCTTCTCATGCCCAGTTTGTGCTTTCATTTTATCAGCCCACTGCATTTCATTTTTTCTTTTGTCAAATCATTGGGGAATCTTTTTTTTTTTTTTTTTAATTTGTGTGTATCTGTCTTCTTTTTGTTAATTTCCTTCTCTAACCTTCAATCTCAACAGCTGTGTTTCATAAAATCTTCCTATTTCAGACTTCCTTCTTTTTACATGGTTGAAATACTTGAAAAATCCAAGCAGAAATTCAACTTTGATTTCAAAACAGACCAAAAAGCTCCACAACCCATTTAAATGACTGAAGATAATCTTGGGTAGCTGATGTGACTTTATCCAACAAAGAAGGAGCTAAGGGAGATAAGTTTAATGTGTGTTTGCTCTTTAATATGCAGGTTGCAACTTGGATTTTTGGACCTTTTAGGTGCTTCATAGTTTTCAGATTTTTTTCCATAAGAACGTTTGATCTGTGTTGGATCCAAGTATCCTGTTTTAGAATCCTTCAATAGTTGTTGCTTGACTGTGTAAGATATGCGGCAGAGAGCCCCCTCCTCAATTGATGCCACATTTTCTTTCAAAAGTCTATCTGACACAGTTATGCTTTTCATATATTCAGTTTAGTGCTGCATTATCTCTGTGGAGACTGTAGTTGAAGACCACTTGCAAATAACAGTTGTTACAGAATATGGCCGAGTATTTACCTATGTTACAGCCTTTTTAAAATTTTCATTTACAGTGGCAGTTAACTTCTTTAAAAAATGTTCTCTTTCCCCTCCAAAACTGAACTGAGCTTTAACTTTTCTAGAGGCACTTTCTCCTTTTACTCTACTGTATTTATTGCTGTTTACCTCTTGTGCTGGAGTTCAGCAGCTGACCACCCTAAGCAGGAAAAACTGGTGACAGAATTTACTGGAGCACATTCACAAGTGAATTAATTTAGTGTATACTGAGTGTATGCCATGAGGGCTAACTTTCAGATTTATTTCATGGTCAAATGTGAAGTTGTTATGCTTTTGGAAAGATCACTTGCAGGGAATGGCTTTCAGGGTTTTATGGTGTGTATGGTTGGTTTTTCCCTCCCCCAATATTTAGCCAGTTGTCGTAGTATTTGGTTGTTACTGTGTTCGCTGTTTTAAAAACAAGCAAAAATTCTATCAGTGTCATCCCCTCACACTTGGATGTGTCTTTTGCCTACCACAAACACTCTTTCCTAAGTTATATTTCTGATGCTTTTCCAGAACAACAAAGCAAGAAACACCTCTCCTTTCTCTGTTCTATTTAGACCTTACTGAAGTGTAGTTAAACAACTTTTACCTATATAAACCTTTGCATTCCTTTAATTAGGCAACAGATATGCAGACTGGAGAACCTAGTACAAATGAGTTCATCTGATTTTGGTAAGTTTTACACATTTAATTTGACATTGGGATACATATCTGACAACTTTTCACAACCTTCTCACAGATCACACTTGTGCTTTGACTCTTGACTGAGGGCTTTTGGAGTGTGCTGCAGAACAGCATATAATCAGCATAAAAGTGAAGTAAGGGTAGAAATACAGGCAACAAAGTCAGATACAGTAGAATCAAAATAGGTAGTGGAAATGTTGGGAGTCAGTTTGGAACCAGATCTGCCTGTATGGTAGATCACAGGGCAATCCTTACTGACCTTTGTGGGTCAGTCACATTAACGTGACTTGAGCTAAGGTGTCACCCCTAAGGTAGAATTTTGCAAAACTTGTACCTTGTTTAATTAAAAATGAGAAGTTGCATCAAAAATCTCAATAGCTATTTTAGTTACAAATGTAGTGGTTTGCGATTTTTTTTTTTCAGTGTTCCCTTGGCTTACATTTAAACTAGTTATATTTGTTTAGAATTATTTACAAACTTAATTTATCTTTGCAGTAGGATCGATAAAATAGGATCACTACAACACTCTTTGTTTCAATTAAATACTGAAGCATGAGAAGCAATATGTTTCTAAAGGATTATTGCAGCCTTGGGCTTATTTTAAGTTTGAAGGCTGAATTACTTAGCAAGTTGAGAAGTTCAGTAATTACTCAGAAATAAAATGTCTGTAGTATCTTCTCATTGTAGATAAAGTGCTACTGTTCTGTTAGTATGAGCGAATAATTTTACACATTATTTTGTTTTGATATTGTAATTTTCTGCCATTTAAATAATTTTTGTGCTCTTATCAAGCTTCTTTCATATGCTGTTGTTGATTGTATCTTAAAAGTCTAATTATCTTGACGTTTAATACATATGTGGAAGTAGCCTGTTTTAAATTACATTTAAACTTCTATATGGTAGCTGGACACCAAAGAACTCTTCTGTAGTTCTTTTTTCCCTTGAATTTAAGCATCTTCTCAGTTTGCTACTTTGTGTCTTGTTCTAGTAAAGCTAGTAAAATAAAAAAACTTGAATTTTGTGCTTTGCACCAGGCTTTCTTTGTGAATTAGACCAAGTCACGCAGCTGTGACCCACTTTCCCCCTTACATAAGTGGGCTATGAGCAGGAGGGTGTCATGAGGACTGAAATATTTTAAGTGGTCAGGCACAGTGACATTGGGTATTATTGATGTCTTAGATAAATGTGCTATTGCCACTGGTTAAAACCCCAGTTAAGAGTTTTAGCTCAGTAAATCTTTGTTGTGCTGTGTGTTTATATAGCTATCAATATCGTACATTTAATTTAGTTTCCTACCAGCCTGAATGAGCTTTGAAGACTTTGTACTGAGAACTGTTTAATTGTGCAAGCCATACAAAAGTTCTTCTTGTGCTCTGTGTTGTTCTGTCTTTTTTTTTTGAAAATACCTCTTCTGTTCTTAAGAACACTCTACCGTTCCTGTTTTGTTCCACTTATTTCACTACTCAATGATTTATGATAGCATGCAAAAGATTTTGTAGTGAAATACTACAATATAAAATTTTGCTTAAACAGAACTTCTGAGAACTTAGGTTACAGTATTTGTTATAGCTACAAAGCAGCTGTAATATCTATAAATAATTCCTTTAGAACCTCTGGTTCATTAGCATGGCAGATGCTATGGCTTTCTTGTGTGCGAGGTAGACTATGCACTGAAATGCTGTGGTACTTGTACCAGTTGATATGTTTCACCCACTGAGTGTTGTTGCTCAAAAGATGTTGAGACAGGCTTAAATACTCAAAGCTTTTATTTGTAGGGTTTGTAACAAGTGACATATGTGAACTTCCAGGTTATCTGGAGGGTATGGGGGGAAACAAAAGGGAGAGCGAGGGCAAGACAAAGAAAGGGAAGGCTCCCCAGTGGTCAGGTGGGGAGAGGATCAAAGACAACTGTTTTTCCCTGGCTGTGCAGTCCAGTGTAGTAGGTGACCAAGAGTTTTTACCATACGGCTCCTCTAGCGAGATGCACTTTCATGTGGCCCTGCTCAAACTCCTGATTTGATGCTTGCATTTAATAAGCTCGTAATAATTGGCATGTGCATAATTAGATATCTGTGTTGCAGGCTGCTAAGCTTTTGTGTGTATAGATATATATTATTTGGGCAGTAGTTATTTGGTATTTAGATTACTATATTTGCTTTGTTATGCACTAAGTTTCATCTTTCTCTAATAAAAGCTGAAAGCTACAAGGCAAGGTGTGGGAATAAATAAGGAGTGATTCTCACACCAGTGGCAATGGCTTCTAGTGAATCACAGAATCAAAGAATATGCTGAGTTGGAAGGGACCCATAAGGATCAAGTCCAATCCTTAGCCTTGCCCAGGACCGGTTCCAAGAGTCGCACCATGTGCCTGAGATTATTGTCTAAACACTTCTTGAACTCTGTCAGGCTTAGGGCTGTGACCGCTTCCGTGGGGAGCCTGTTCCAGTGCCCAGCCACTCTCTGGGTGAAGAGCCTTTTCCTATCTAACCTGAACGTTCCCTGACTCTGCTGTAATGGCAGTGTTTGAGCTTGCAGGTGGAAGGTAAGGGTGGTAATGCCATGAGAGCAACAGCTTCAGAGATCACAGGAAAGGAGACACATAGCTGCAAAAACTGGCTGAAAATATACAGAGCTTCAAGTGAAAGGCAGGATTGTGAATGGATGGCTCTTGACTCTGAAGGCACTGTGCAACAATGTGATGTTTCCTAGGAAGAGAAGCTGCAAAGCATATTTCCAAATAAATCCACCTGTTTAAGTCCCCCAAGAGAAAAAGGTGTGATAAATTATTTTATACATCTTCACTGAAGGTATCTTGGAAGCAGTCAGGGAGTAGAGCAGTAGGCCTGAATTAATTTTTTCTAGAATTGAGTGCTTGCATCTGCCATCTTTCCTGAGGGACACCTTTTCTCTCTGTACCTGGATATGTGCCTCTGATGGTAAGATAAAGAATGAATCCTCTGGTAAGATGACATTTAGAAGTGGGCGTTTGCCACCAACCACCTCAGAAGTTGTCCTCAGAAAAGAGAGTGGCTTTCAAGTGGTCTGGTATAATTACTATGGAGAATGCAAATGTTAGCCAAGCCATGGGTTGGTCACATCTGCTTTAACCTATTGATCTCTTTGACTTCAGGTCAAGCTGCAAACTTGCATTCTGAAGCAGAGAGCATCAGGCATCAGTGTATTGAGTTTTTGCATTATGTGAAAGTTTTCATCTTCAGGTGAGGTTTGCACACAATTTACTAACTTAGGTACCAAGCTTTGTGTAGCTGCTTCTTACTTGTGTTCTGATTGTGTGTATTTTTATGTATATTGAGGTATCTGGAACCCCCTAAAGTGGAAAATGATGGAATGCTGCATCCATATGAAGAGCTAGAAGCGCAGTTACCGTCAGTATTGGTGGAAGAGCTTCATGCTTTGACTATGCACATTGGTCACCTTTGTGAACTCCCTAGTAATGTCCTGGCAGCATTTACTATTCAACATCAGGCAAAGGTTGATGTCTTCTATAATTTTAATCTTCCTATGTAACATTATGTATTCAACTTCATAAGTTTTGGTTTAATATAAGTTAATCTTTGTTTTGGTTTTTTTTTTCCCCCCCTCTTAATTGCCATCCTGTATTTGGCATACACAACTAATGAATTCTGGATTTTTCTGTCATTGTTTTTATTTATCTATGTATTTTTATGTTCTATAGAATTCTTCCTACACTATACAAATGATAATACGAATTAGAGGTAGGTAAGTAGGCTTGAACTAACGTAGCACGTTTTAAAAATTCCTTGGTGTTTGTCCCTACTGATGCTTATAATTTCTGAGCTTCCCAGTAAGAGGGGCATTCCTTTAAAAATACGCTCTGAAATCTGATTCTAAATAAGAAAAGGTCTTGTATATAAAGAAAACTGCAGATGTGGAAGGAGGCACTGCAGCATTAAACACTAGTGAAGTATACACCATTAGGATTTGTGCATATATATGAAAACTAATGCTTTCAGGTCTTTTAGGAAGGAAAAAAGGAATTTCAATTTTGGGTTGTTTAAACTAGTATCTGGAGAGGAATGATCCACGGAGAAGCAGTATTTTGAATCTTTGTTTGTTTAGCTTGTCAGTAGGGCCACTACTGAGCTGATGAAAGAAACAGTAATTTCAAGTAAACTTTAAGGAAGAGAATTTTGAAATTTTGGAATTATTTTAAAAGCTCATTTTAGCAGCTTGTGTGCTACCTAATACTTTTCTGTAAAGAAAAGGATAACTAAGGTTGTTGTAATTTGTCAAGCTTGAATCGAGACTTCATAAACATCCTCTATAGATAGAATTAATTGTCATGAAAGTTTTTCTTCCTTTCTTTCTTTTTTTTTTTTTACCTGAATGGCATGTTTGTATGTTGCATTGTATTTGGTCACAGATATCCATAATGTTCACTGCAGGCCATCTTAGAGTTGTTAAGGATCATAGACTTGTTAAGGTTGGAAAAGTCAAGTCCAACTGTTACTATAGCACTTCCATGTTCTCCACTAAACCATGAACCCAAATGCCACATCCACATGTTTTTGAACACTTCCAGGGATGGTGATTTCACTGCTAACCTGAGCAGTTTGTTCCAAAGCCTTACCATCCTGTCTTAGTACAGTATCCAGAATTCACTAAAGAACTGCTAAATGTAAGTAAATGCGTGTATTTCTAATCACAGGTCTTTCCCCCATCATGGCATTTACTACATCTTCACTTGGATATTAATTGGCTAATACTGGAAATTCTTCATGTACTAGGTGAAAAAATGATGAGTAAGTATGCAGATTTTTTTACCTTGAACTTATTCTTTACATATGACTTACCTAGTTTTCTCATCTAGTTTGTTCAGAATCACATACTACTTTTGGTAGCTTTTAAGCATAGCTGTATTTAATGGAGTTAAATATGGTAAAGGCAGATTCTTTGTAAATCTTCATGTGGTTCAAATTAAATGAAATTGTATTAGGAATTTGTTCTGTCAAAGCTTGACCAAGATGACAGTACTAAATATTTAGTGACCACGCACTTCCTGACATTACAAGTAAAAATGCATTTGCAGATATCCAGAATGCATGGCAGTGAATGGCAATTTGATGAAAACAATGGAAAAGTGTCCAGGGATGGACCAGAACAAGAATTCTCAGAGCAGAGAATTTGTATTATTAACCATGTGCAGCACTAAGAAAATATCAGGCAAAAGAAGAAGCATCAATCAGAGTAGCTTGTAAAAGTACAGCAAGAAAAGGGCAAGGCAATATCTTTTTAAATTTTTTTAAAAAGGCTTCAAAAGGGCAAGAAGTAAATTGATAAGAGTAAGCTGCTCATATAAGTTAGATAAAAAAGGTCATAGAATGCAATTGAAAAACCCAACTTCAAAGTAGTTCAGTTTGCTGAAGAATTGTTAAAATACAGAAGAGAACTTTGTTAGTTTGTTGAGGTTTATGTCTATTTTCCATGTCCGTTCTACCAAAATAAATCACCAAAATGTATTTTCTTCTATAGTCTTTGTGTCATTATGACGAAACCTTCGCCTCCCCAACCCTGCTCTTATCATAAACTATCAATATAACTTCCATATAGGAATTGCAACAGTTGTAATGTAATGTTGAGGTCTAGAAAGAATGCACTGTGTGTTTAGCCCAGATAACTGGTACTGAATCTCAACTCTTGGATTAGCTTTTGCCACCTCTGAGTGCTGTCAAAATGCAGCCTTGCTTGGCTTAACACATTGTCTCGGTTTCTGCATGTCTGTGTTACTGGATAGTGTGTGGGTTGGCTGTTTATTCTGTAATTCTAAGTTTCTTTTATGATCTGTTGCAAGATAACCTGTTTTCCTTTTTTAGGGTGTTTTGGAGAAAGGATAACAAGTGTTGGAGGCAATTTATTGTCCAGAGTTCAATATTTATTTCTAGATAATGTTCTGAGTAATAATTCAGTAACCTATTTTTGTAAGAGAAAGCTTCTGCTTTTTAAGAATAAAATTTACTAGTCAAGACAGTAGTATCTCTGCTTATATTGTCTTGTCTTGTATTCTTATGTGCCTTTTAGAATTTCGTAGGTTCTTATCTCATTCTGTAAAGTATGCTGAGTAGAAACTTTACACTGCTGAGACCAATGGCAGGAAGTGGGTTCAGGGCTTCACCTTGCACTTCCAAGAATGAAATACAGGCTCATTCTACATATCATCTGCTCCACTGATGTCAAGGGAGTTGTATTGTTGAAAAGCCTGCAGGATAAGATCTTACAGCCTCTTAACTTTACCATTTTATCTGTGTTAATGTCTACAAATGCTCAAGTTGGAACATGATCATGCCAGCTTTTTACATCAACACATCCAAAGGGAAGTGTTAGACCTCTCCAGAATTGTTTGTCATCAACTTGCATATCTGCAAAACATGTCATGATTCCAGAACATGCGCACTGGCATGTGACAAAGAGGAACTTGAAGATAAATAAATCTTTATTCCACCGCAAAAACTGTGCCAATAAAAGGCTGTAAAGTGCCAAACTGTTTTACTGTCAACCTGAATAATACCAGATTTCAGTGCAATAATGAAGGGATTAGCTTGAATTTAGAAAGGATGAACTTTCTCATATTAATTTGTAAATTAAAATTACATACGGGTCAACAAGTCAATTTTTACATATATATATATATATATATATAAAAAGAAAAAATAGTCCTCTCTGTCTTGTATTCCTACAGCCAAACCTGGAACTAAATAGGTCTAATTTTCTTTTGTGTTTTAGGACAAGTTGTATATGCTAACCATTTCATAAATCTAACCGGAGAGAATTTAACCAGTATCAGTTTATTTGAAAAACACTGTGAAAATCTCGTATCTGATTTAGTAAGCCTGTCCATCAACAAGTATACAAAGGTAACTCCTTTTCTTTATATAACACATGGGCAGTTAGGTGCTTGTATTGGGAACCATATGAATTAGATATTGCACCAAGGCATAGATGACTTCTTATTGCTAAGTTTTAAATGTTACGTATGGCTTTGTATCTCCATGTTTTAAAGAGTGTTATTTGTTAGGAGCTCAAATTGTGTTATATTTATTCATGACCATCTGGCAGTTGAATGAGAGAGTAATATTGAAATGCACTGTGTACAGAGCAGTGAGTGCCACATTTCCTAAGTTCAGTGTGCCAGGTTTAATGCCAAACGTGGCACAGTCTAAAAGGTTTAGATAGATGGAAAAAAAAAAAAAGCCTTTTCAAACTCTCTCAACGGGAACAAAAAGAGAATAACACTAATCCTGGCAGTAAGCTAACTGGACACTTAGAAAATGTCATATTACAGTTTATTGTTGACCTGTGCCTATTTCCACAACCTCATCTTTCTGTTGCAGTGCTTTTACACTTGTCAAGGGAAAACTTGTCCTTCTCTTCTTTCCTTTTTCTTTCCTTCCATAGCTGCAGTATTTTTCTCCCTTTTTTTGAGCACTCCAAAGCTAGAAAGTCACAATAGCTCCACAGAGCAACCAGAAAAAGAACTGCGTAATCTTCTTTGTGTCACTGTGAAACCAGCTTTAGATGGACATGTGCGATCCACGAACGCAGGACTGAACTCTGAACAGTGACCACTGTATAGTTTGTTTTCCTAGTACAAAAACATGAGAAATGGAATCCCTATCCTTTCATATTACTTTTGAGGGTGAGGGGGAATGGCTGTATTATTTTATTTATTTTAAAATCAGTTTTGATCTACAAAATTATCAGATAATACTGCAACCTCTTCCCCTGTGAAAAAGCAAATAGATGAGTAATTTTTTTTTTTAAAAAAAAGATTCAAATAGTATCTGTTGAACATTGTGCTTGATGATAGGCTTTGAAATGTCAGATGATAAAATGACAGATTCAGTACTTCCACAGAACCACATTACAAAGAGGGAAGATTATTTTACCACTGCTTTTTCTTCAGCTCTCCCTAGGCTTGGGACACAGCTTGAACTAGTTCTGTTTGAGACTCATTTCTATGGGGAAGCTTGCACTTGAGCTGGATAACATCTCTTCAGCTGGTGGCTCCTATAGTATGCAATCATTGCTGTCATCCGGTAATGGAGATAACATCCCTCAAAATTGTTGAAAATGAAACTGGTACCCAGAGTAGATGACACCATCAGCTAAAACATGTCATTAGGGTTTTGGCTGAGAACATTCAGGACTGAAGCTTTTAACATTTGTGGGTATCCTTGGAAAGAGGGACATAAAATCTAGTCCTCCAGATGCATATTTTCAGATCTGTTTCCTGGGCAGTTCTGATTTTAAGATGCTTGGCTTGGATCATGTACTGAGCCCAGTGTGCTCTGAGACACATTTGGCAAAGAAATATATATCCTTGCATATCTTTCATTTTCAGCAGCCACATCTCTGACACCAGAGCTCTATTGTCCCAACAGCACCACAATTTGAGGTTTTAGACATGCTTACCAAGGCACTTGGTTGAGAGAGGAAATTTGGAGTATCTCTGAAGAAAACAATATCTTGGTTATCCTTAGTCTAACCAATATCCACATGGTGTCTTACTTTAATACTACTGGCCAAACTCTATCCTGAATGGATACTGCACATCTCCTGCAGAAGAGATACTGAAATCTTGTAGGGAGCACAGTAGTAGGTTCAAGCACTTTGATGAAGAAACCTAGTTCTTGCAACAACTGGTAGTCCATGTAGAAAGCATGAAACTCTCATTTGTGACATAGTTTCTATACCTAATACTTTCATAAAAACTTGCAGTGTTATAGTACATCTGTAATAAGGAGACTGCTCCTTTCTGATGGATCTGTTTTGCTCTTTGGTGGTGAGTTATTTTTGAGTCACTTCAGTTTTGGGGAGTTAGTATTTAAATAATGAAACAATAGACTTTAGTGGTTACATTGGTGTTTATTCTCAAGATAATATTGACATAAAATTAATTCAGAATGTTGAGAAATTCCCCTAACAGATCTTTAACTAAAAACATGAGGAGAGACAGAAGCATTTGAAGTACTCTGAACAGTATATGTGGAATGTGAATAAAGAATTATTTAAAATATTTCAGTCTTGACCTTATGATGCTCTTAAATTGATTGTCAGGGTCTACCCTGACAATTTCATAGGATAAACAGGATCCTTTAGAGAGTGAAAAACAAGTTATGTGTCACATTTATAAATACATATAATTCATATTTATAATAAAGTGTTCAGTATTTAAACCTCATTTGGAGCTGTATGAAACAGTAATTGTAAACATATTATTCTAAAGATAGATGATAAATAAAAATTTGCATCCTAATAGAATATTACAGAGATTTGAAACTACGGTGATATACTTGTTCTCATTGCAAAAGTGTGGGTTTCTAGCAATTCACTCCCTCTTCTGTAAAGTCTCTTTCACCCAGCTACTGCTGTCACTAACATTGCATATTTTGATAAAATTTTTAATTTATACCATTAGGTTTCCAAATTCAGGAATGACTGTAAGTGCTAGTGTGATTTGAGAATAGTTGTGCATGAATGGATCAAGAAGGGCACAAGGATATAAAAATTCGGGATCCATCTTATCAGATGTAGATGCCTAAGAATTAGTTGGCTAAACAAGTCACCTGAGGCTCTTTTCATTGTCAGGGAAGGATAGCAACAGTTCTTTCTGCTGCAGTCAGTGAGATGAATTAATCTCTCTAGGTGCCTATTCCCCTCTTTGTTTTAGAGGGGTGTAGGTTGGTTATTTGAACTTGAACTACTCATTGTTTAGGGATAAAGTGAGTATGAGCTGCTTTGCCTTCCCTCGGTTCTTTCTACATTTCTACCATTGTGTCCTTGCTGAAGGTAAAAGGTGCTGAATTTTTATTCACTATTTAAGCAAAGGTTTTCTCATGATTTTTACCACCTCTGAATATGGTTCAGAACCCTACAGATTCATAGGTCCTAGGATAGAGTAAGGAAAGTTTTGTCTATGCTGTGATTGTTTCAAATACAGTTCTGGTAGATCTTAAAAGCATTAAAGCATATAGAGATTTTTTTAATGTATTTAGCACTTCCTTTTGCTGTTTTACTTACTTTGTTTCACAATTCAGGGAATGTAAAACTGAAAGATGAATCACAAGAAGACTATTTTGCATTTGAAATGCATCAGTCTGAGTGAATTTTGTTAAATATGGAATAGTAATCAAATAACGTACATGACTTGAAATATGCTGTTTTCTGCATATTAAAAGAATGCCTTGCAGTAAATTTACCGAAAAGCAGATTTTGTGAAATGTTGTGGGAACATTAACATCCTCATGCCAACAAAAACATATTCTACTAGCATTATGCCTAGTCATTAAGGATTGTTCAGTTAAAAATAACAATAGCTATTAAATCATTTCAAATATTTTTCTTCCTGAGTACATCAAGAAAATCTAATCAATCATTTTTTCTTTTCTGTCAGACAATGAATCAGTTTTTATTGTAATTCTTTTTCATTTAGGACTTAGAATGCTGGTTTTATTTAATTAAATAATGTTTGAAAGTGGATCAGAAGAGACTAAGAAATATCACAACCTGTAACTTATGTAGAATTAGGAAAAAATGTTGTATAATAGAGATATATTAGATGTTAATGAAATAATACACCTTTAAATGTGTACTTGTAACTATATTATTTAAAAATAACTGCAACCCCCCCCAAAACCTTAAACTAAACAGCCAAGACAAGAGGAAATACTGGTATATAAAATGCAGTTTCAAAGATAACACTTCTCTGAAGAATTTTATTCTATATTCTTTCAGGTGCGACCTTCTGAGGCTCTTACTAGTCACCATTATCCCTGTACCTGCATTAAAGAACTATGGATTCTACTTATTCAGCTGCTGGACCACAGAAATAAAGGGTCTCATACAGAGGTAATGGAAGAATACTGTTATATATGCTTGCATGTTGTAGATGCAGTGCAGTCACCAAATGTTCCCTTGCTGCCATGAATGCAATAGCTCACAGATCTGATGGTAGAACTGAACTTCATATTTGCTTTAGGAGGACTGCATGCTAACTGTGATGTTTCAGGGCACCGTCTTGAATGTGTGTGAAGTCCTGACTCTATGTTTGCAGTGTTCTGCTTGTTGTGACCTAGGCCACTGATAAGGAGTGCTCCTTGTGCTGAAGACAGCAAAGTCATATATAAGAACAAAAAAGGAGCCATCTTTAGTAATTTTTGAAAAAAGAATAATTTGCAATCACTATCTGTTCTCCTTTTTTATACTAATACAACTTTATATGCCTCCTCAGTTTGCTTTTTTCTTACATCTTCTGCCTTCTAGGCTGAAGAGTCTTACTGTATTCAGTAATTCTTTTTTCAGGTGCCATTCTTTACCTCGTCATCTTTGTCGCACTCCTCTGAACCTTTTTCCATGCTACATCTTATTTTTAATGACAGAGTGCCAGAATTGCATGCAGTATTCCAAGTATGGGTTAGGGGGCCATATGATTTTATACATTGTATAATGATATAGTGATGTTTTCTATTTTGTTATTTTCCTTTGCTAATATTTTCTAGTGTTTTAATTTTTCTTTCTTGACTGCTGGTTAGAATTGAGCTGAGGTTTCTCTGAATGAATATTAAGAAGTTTTAAAATCCTTTGGAAGTTTTCTGAAATAATTTTTATAAGAATCAAAGTGACCATCTGCGCAGTGAGTACACTTCACTTAACACAGAATGAAGTACTTCACTGTAGAGTGTTTATACTGATAGGTATTTACTTGTCATGGACTACAGATGTAAAGGCGGACAGCAGAAGTGAAAACTTTCTTGCTGTTAAGCATTTGCACTGGCAAGCATAAGTTAGGATCAAGACCAGCTAAGGTGGGTGAAATACAGGTGCAAAAAAGTCGCAGAGAACTTCTATAAAACTAGGGAAGATAGGCACAGGCTGTAAGAAGAAGTGATATTGTAATATAGACAGAAGTCTGAGCCAAAAAGAGTTAATCAGTTTGTCAGTGCTGGAACAGACTGGAACAAAACAGGGAATTGGAACCTCAGTTTGCTGTCTTTCAGACTGATTCTTTACCATCTAATATATTCCTCTTGGTTAGGTTAGTCTGGCACTAGAAATTTTTCAAAAATATGTTGTAAAAGTCCACATTAAAGAGCTCTAATCTCTCTCTTGTGAGTGTTGGTGCACTGTCCTGTCTGCACATCATCCGTCCATCAGCTTGTAATTTTGCCTGTGAAGTACTGCACTGCGTTCTTCCTCATGACCCAAGCTTGTCCTTTCACATTGCTTTTTACTGACATTTGAGAAAAAACATTCTAAAAGTACTTCTAGGTTTTCTGTGGTAATACTGACCACTGGTTTCTGTTATTTTCTTTAAATGACTTGTTCTCTGTAAAAGCAAATTGATCAATAGGACAGTATTTTAAAGAAAATTATTGACATAGGCTTTTATTAAACAGAGTTCAAATTAACTTTTGTATTTTCTGCAGTGTTTCTGGAGCTTGGTGAACAAAACTCTAAAGAATATCTTTGAAAGGCCAAGTAGTTCAGAAAGGATGTCCGATTTTGAAGCAGTTCAATGTAAAGACCCATTGAGTTTTAGCTGGTGGATTGTTAGTCATCTGGCATCACTCTACCAGTTTGACCGTAATGGAAATCTAGATGAAAAGGTGGGTATACTTTTTCTAAATACCAAAGAGTTATTATAATTGATTTTGATCTCTTTGGTTATTTTTATTGGTAGAAAAAAATTAATGTTGTAATACAGGAATATTCGTACTCCTTGAAAGGAATTCTTTAAGGGTGGTGGTGTTAAGATGTGCTTTGTACAAGTCAGTAAACATTCTAGGAGCCTCTGACATGTTCACATTATATACCAGATATTCAGTAGATTACTGTATTAAGGAAACTTGAATATCCCAACTACTTAGTGGCACATATACCTAATGATGTAGCATATGTTTTGAAACTGTCTGCCCGCAGCATAAATGCTTGACTGAGTTTGTTGTTTTAGGAACCGAACACATTAGTTTGTACTGTATGAAATATAAATCTCAAACATTGACTGTGTAATTAATAAAGCTCCTTTTTTTCTTTAAAGTGATAGCCCTGCTCTGGATAAATTTCAGTCTGTCTAATTGCATTCCCTCTGTATCACAGCAATGGCGTGATAAGATACTGTCACATGAAATGGGGAGATTTCCTTGACCCTTAGTGTTTGATTTGTCTGTTGGTGCCCCAGGAAAGCTGAGACCCTTGTGCCTGACCAGTGTTTCAGCATGCTGTTGTGGGGTGCCTTCACCAAGCACTCCTGCTGGATTGGAGGGTGATTCCCCTGGCTTATTCAGTGAAATACACCAATAGGTCTTCCCACTTTATGACCTCTCAGTGGATCTTCCACTTTATTCAAGTGTGTTACCCGCTGCCAGTGGCTGCCAAAACCCTCGAAGAACTCACAGTAACAGTTTATGGAAGAACACTCTTATTAATAGAAAGTTGTGACAGGCTAAGGTTCAAAGATTGCCATTGATAGTAAAAAACATATTCAGAGCAATACATAGACAAGCTCTAGTCCCAGTAAAAGTATTCAGTGTGCACAGAGTGGCTCTTACCCCATAGGCATCCCTATGGGGACAGAAGACAGGTTCAGCCTCTTGATTGATCCCAGCAGTTATGAGGGAGCCTTCCCTAACTTCTTCTCCATTCTTGACTTCTATACTATTTCTTTATGTTTACGTGGAGCTTGAATGACTTTAGTCATAAATACCTTTGTTACTTCTTGGTGTAAAGTTCCTCACTTAACTTTTGATACAGTCAAAAAAATACAGAGTGCATGCCCCGTGGGGGGTAATCATACCTTGGAGGCAGGTAACTTTGGGATGGAAATATGCATTAATATTACAGTTAGGCTTTAATTAATCTAGTTCGTCTGAGGAGAGAGGTTTTGCCACAGTTGTTGGCTCAGCAGCAGGACATCTATCTCCCTTGGTTGACAGGTGCTATGCAGCTTCTCAGCTGCAAAGTACTATCTAGTTCCCCTCCCTGGAAGGATTTCCATAGAGCCTGGCTGTGATGTCTTCACTCCACTCCATCCTCCTTTCCACCCCTCTTACCAGGTGCTTATTGTTGTATGGGGAACCATTGTGGAACTGCCAGCCTTTCATCCAGGGACTAGCAGCTGTATTTTACCCTGTAATTTCTATACTATTAAAATTTCTGTTAGGGTGTGAATATAACTTCTCAGTTTCCTCTAATTTTATCTTTCCATAGATGCATATATATTTGTGTATAGAGTTTAATTTTTATGTTGGTGTGCTACCAATAGACACTGTCTAATAATTGACACTGAACTCTTGCATTATTGAATTCTGATAATTGAACTGAATCCAAGCTTCAATTTAGGAAATTCTGGCAGTAAATTGCAAGTAAGATTTTCCTACTGGCTAGAGCAGGGTAATCCTCGATTAATCAGTTCTTGTGTGTGGGCCTCATTGTGAGGGATTTGACATTACCATGCATTCTGTAAGGGGCCTAGATGAGACCTGCATGTCCCATTCCTACACCTGCAAGATATATATAAGTTCATACTTGGTACTGATGCATCAAATTCCTCCATGGACCTCACTGCTGTTTTCTGCAGTTTGGAGGTCAAGTAAACCCTGACCCCTCTTTCAGCCTCTCACTCTGAGATTCATTCTGCCTAGTTTTAAGTTTCTAATCATTTATTGGGAAGGAAAATAGGCACTTACTGAGGCAATTAATCGTATGAAAGCTGCCATTTTTTCTTTATTGACTCTAGAGGAAGCTGTAAAAATAGGGAAGGTGTGGTACTTCAGTGCTTGAATACTTAGTTGAAAAACTCATTACCATTTCTGGTCACTAGAGGACTTGGTGCACCTGGAATGCTGATGCTTCTGCTGCTTCCCGGTTGACAGGTTCTGTAGGATCATGTGGCAAAATGTAGTAACTTCTCACAAATTCATACAGTGTAAAGTTGCAGACCAGCTGTGGTTCTTACACTGAAGGTTGTCTCAAGCTGTGCTTTTGCCCTGCTGCTGTGTGGATGGGAGAGGACCACAGTCCACAGTGTGTTTCAGAGGAGCACTGGAAGATAGCATTACTACACTGCCTGCTTATTAAGGAACTTAGATAGAGAGAAAAGGTTATTCCCAGGCTGAATACAGAAATCAGTGTGAAACAGGCACTTATATTGGGGGTTTTATATTTAATGCCTTAATCCAAATGCAGTGATACTGTTTACTTTGATCATTGGGGTTTTTTCCTGTATCTCATACTGATAGATTATGTATTTAGCCTCGTGAGATTTTTTTTTTTTTTTTTTTGCTCCAGGCACTGTATTATTTACATAAACCAAACAAGATGTAGAATGGAGTAAAGGATTCCTGTTGTTTTTATTTTAAAGTAAGAATCTGAGACACAGTGTCAGGAAGTGACTTGCACAAGATTCAATAATATTTTTTTCCTTAGAGCCCACCTTGGAGAAGAGAATTTCCAAGTCTTGATTTGTAAATCATGACACCATTCTGTGCACACTCTTCTTGATGTTTCCAGCTTTGCACTTCTGAGTGTGGCTGCAAGTTTGTCCAGGGATCCCTCTTCTTGTACAAAAAAATCTCTCACTAACATCAGTGCATTTTCACTCACCACAATAACGTAATCTGTCATAGATAGTTGATGGTAACAATTTTTTTAGGTCCTGTCCCCTTCCCCGAATTGCAACCTCAACTGTTCTTCAAACATTAGAAGGTAAAATAGTGATATAAATTTGTGAAGTCAATGGAATTACATCAGGGCTCAATATAGTCCTGTTTTGTTGGTTACACATCTGATGCGATAGCTTCATGACACATGCTTTCTTTTAATTAACTGTGATCAGAGGTGGGAGGGTGACGTGTCATAATGATGATTATTCCTGTGCTCTGTAGCAAAAATTCCCTCTAAGGCTATGTCATCTGTGGAAGATTTTCAATTTTTTAATGTGGTCTGCGTGGCCTTGAGGTTGTTATGAAAGCTTTTAAAATTCTAAGTAGGTTTCAGACTTGCTTCTTTTTATTTTTTCCCCTTTAGCTCATATAACACAATTTCAAATATGCAATGATTCATATATATTGAATGCATATTTCACATACATGAAACCACTTTCTTCTAAAAAATTTTGGCCAGGTTTCTTAGAGACTCTGTTCTGAGAGATGTACAGTACATGCCTCTTTCCATATCCCCCCATTCAGGTCCCACTTCACTCTTCTGAAAAGCAGGATTTGTACATTTAAAATCCAAATGGGACCTGATGAGAAAAATTGCTGCTTCTGAACATTGCAGGGGTCAATTTCAATATCCTGTGGGCTAGGGTAATATAGGCAGAGTTACCTGGGGCTAAGAATTCTTACCTTTGAATAGAATAATCTGAAATGACTAAGTGGCAAGATAAGCAAACATGGAACTTCCAGCTGAGAAGCCTAATATGGCTTTTCCAGGTAGTCAGCTTAGGTAGTGCTTTCAAAAGTTTCTTCCTGCATATCCTGGGGGTCTCACCTCAAGTTTTTGGTTTTAGCAGCACTTTCATGCACCCTAAGGTCTCCAGCTTCTGTTGACTTTTAGGACTCTCTGGGGCTGGAGGGAGAATGTTTTAAGCTACAAGGTTTGTAGTAAAAGATGTAGGTTCTTTATTTTTTGACAAGAATGGATTGTAAACAGTTGTTGTGCCATATTTATAGTGCAGTAGGGAATACTGTTCGCATGTAAATCTTTTGGGATTTGAATGAAACAAGTCTGTTAAAATATAGAGACAGTTGTGGGTAAAAAAGATTGCAGCAGGTGGTTGCTGGTGTTCTTTCCTGAGTTTGGGCTGAACCTGAGTGCACTCTTGTAATCAATTCCAGTTGGGGTCAGGAGTTTGCCCAGGTTACTCTGAGATCTTGTAAAGTGATCTGTATATTGCAGATGAGCTGGAACTTTGGCAATAAACACCTGTTGTATAAAACATGTGTCCTTGGACTATGATACTGCTAAAAACATTCTGAGCCCGGTCAATCCAGGCATTAAGCGGTCTCATAGACATTTAGCATAACTCTGTTATCTACTTATCACTGATAAATCTGGCCTTTTAGCAGCTGACTAGCTTTACTTGGAGTCTGCAGTAGGACCATGCCAGCGTGTAGGTAGTCACATAACACTGGGCTCTAAAATGCAGCAGTCAAAAATTGGATGTAAATACTGTCTGGGAATCCTGGGTTATATTCATTATTGAAGTGCTGCTTTTACTCCTTGGCCGTTTGTTAATGTAATGACCTCTCCTGACAGGATGCTAGCTCTGATGCAAAGCCTTTGGAATCAGTAACAGCTTTAGTCCTGCTCACCACCTGTATGGGGTGTGGCTGAGCTGGAGTTCTCCCCATAGTAGCCCTCACATTGCTGTGCTTTGCATTGGTAGCTAGAGGGGTGTTAATAACACCCCTGGTGTTTTGGCTACTGCTGAGCACAGCACCAGCACTGTAACATTCCTTCCTCAGTCAAGGGCAAGATTCTGGGAGGGGACACAAGCAGGCCAGCTGACCCAAACTGACCAAGGGGATTGACATTAACGCAGATATAAAAGCAAGGAGCAGGAAGGTGGGCATTCATTGTCTCCAATGGCTGCCTGCTGAGGAACCATGACATGTGCTGAAGCCCTGCTTCTCAGGAGTGGCTGACCATTGCTGCTGATGGGAAGTAGAGAATAAACCTTGTTATCTTTTACTTTGTTTTTGCACGTGCAAGTTTTTGCTTTGCTTCTGCTTTACTAAACTGCCTTATCCCAACCCATGGGTTGTTTACCATCTTACTCTCTCCCCTGTCCGGCTGGGAGGGAGAGTGATAGAGTGGCTGGATGGGCACCTGGTGTCCAGCCAATGTCAATGCACCACACCACCCTAGGCATGATGTGCCCTCTGCTGTTCTGGCACAATTATTTGTGTCCCTATTCTGTAACCTAGGTCAGGCTCTCCTCCCTTTTTCATTCTTTCTCTCTCTTCTAAAACTCTGGGTCAGTTCACTGGTCTGGTTCACACTGTATCCCACAAAGAGAAGTACCAGAATAACTGAGCAAGTGCATACTACAGTTGTGAGGGCAGAAAGAGCCACTGGCAGGATGAGGAGGAAGAAGCAGTGGGAACTGCCCAATTGATATGGCTCAAGTTCCTGAATCGTGAAATCACAGCTTTAGTGTAACATTCTGTAGATCTGTCCTTTCATTTATATTTGTTTCATAAACAGTCTATGGACTGAGGCTTTCTACCATTAGCTGTTTTTCAGAATCTTCTTTTTGAGCAAAAATGCAAAGCCACCAAGTAGTCAAATTGTGTTACTGAAGTATTAGTGCATCTTTTTAAAGAGTTCATCTTTGAAATTATCTTGGTACTCTCCGAAGTTCTGCCTGAAACTGTCACCAAGTCACAACATTAATTAGTATAGTCAGAGGAGGATGGGGCACAATGGTGTTTGCTGCTGGAAAGTAGTTATATTTCAATTACCAAAGCATAAAATGCTCTTTCTTGTAAGTTCTATACTGACATTTAAAGGACAGCTCTCTGAAGAATAATCTACAAGGGTTAACAAATGTGATAGTGGAGGGAATAAGTAAGGCAGGACAATGATGAAAGTACTATGTTCATACATCTACTTATCTACAGAGGCTATATACATAGCTGAATGTAAGAGATGATTGTTGGACTTCCTAGAGTTATAAGTATGTCAACCTGGTTCCTTTTATTTTTTTTTTTCCTTTCCTCTCCCCTCCCTCCACCCTGAGAAAATGGCCTTAGTTGCAAAGCCTTCTACCCTTTTCTTTCCCACTTTGCATAAATAGGTGTGGGGTGTTTTTTTATCTTTTTAATATACTTTGCCTTCCAAATCTTTTTTACTTTACTGGCATGGTCTGTTTGATTGAAATGGATAATCATCTGTCTTCTCAAGCTGAAGAATATGAATTATGGACCATATTTGAACTACCCTGCCCAACTCCTTACTGAATTGGCCAAATCAATCATTCATGTTTGTCCTGGAAAAAATGAATTAGAAGTGTTTTTTACATTGGGAAAAAAACCAAGCAAATGTGAGATTGTACTTTTTCTTCCTTCTTACCCCTTAAATCTTCCTTTTTACAGAACATTAAAGGAAGAAGTTGTAATACGTTTAGACCAATAAAAAATGCCTGAATGTTTTACTTCTCTATTAAAGGTGAAAGTTGGGATTGCAAAAGAGTCACTTAAAGTGGTTCAAATTGCATACTCCTTACTTGTTTTTTGAAGGTTAATTTTTAGGACAGATATCAATTACATTCCTGTAACAAAAAAGCTGTTTTCAGTGATGACTACAATATGCTGTCATGAAATCAAATATTTCCGGAAATATTTTGAGCGCTTATTTTCACATTATTACATAATGCTTAAGAGATACAAATGCTATTTCAATTGTTTTTCAGAAACAGAAGGAATCCAATTGGAAATTTGTGGAAGAACTCCTTAAAAAATCCACTGATGCTCAAGTAAGTGTGTAAAGGAAGGAATAATGAACAAGTAAAGTGTCCAGGATGGTTTCAGGAAAAGGCAGTGCATGAAACTAAGTCCAGCTTACAAGTGTATTTTTGAAATTCTAGTGTTTTTATCACTGGTTAATGAACATCCTTGATGTAGCTGAACTATGACAGTATACAGTCCCCTCCTTGTTAGCAGTTACACTTGCTTTAAAGTGGTTGTGCTTGATGCTAAATTGTCAGGTAAGAAAAAAAGGTAATTATCCTGGAAGGATAGGTATATAACTACTCAGACAAGATGTATTCAGAATAAGAACTGGAATCTTAGAAAATGTAAACCTGAAACTGAATGTAAGGATATCAGGTTGAGGAGACATGATGAAGGAGATAGTCAGTTGCATTGAAAATTCAGCTATATCCTCATCACAGCAGGAAGGTGACTTGCCTTGCTGAGCAATTTGTCTTACAGGCTTGAATCAAACTCTTACTGATAAGGTTCTAGTTTCTGAGCACTCATTTCATACCTTATCATTTTTCTTTCTGCAGAACTGTTAATGCAATGCTTCATGGCCCAGAGGTCAAAATTGACCTCCTTTTAAAATTCTTTTAAATATACTGTTCATCATGTTTTAAAATATGTTACATTATAGTTCTGTAAATTTGTTCTGAAGTTGCATGGTACAAATCGCAAATGTTGTATCAGCAACACCTATAAAAATAATTTCTTTGTGTATGTTTAAGAGAAGAATAAACATGTTTATTTTTTTTTATTTGATCTCATGAAATTAAGAAAAATCCCACAAAGTTCTGATATTGAAAGCAAAAGAGGAATCAGCTCCTTCGGTTTTTTTAATTATTCTTTGCCTGTGTAGTAGCAACAACTGTAGTTGAAGCTGGAATACGGAACAATACCTGTTTCAACTACAGTTTTTACAAGAAAATATTTGTGGGTTTTAGGATAGTTGAAATGATTGCATGATTTTTCAGCTTTTTTATACTCTATACTTTTACACTTGGTTATGTCTTCTTTCAGCTTAAAAGATTAACTCTTTCTGAATGATTATACAGTACATAACTGAAAATACAAACTGTGCATATACAATAAAACCATAGTAATGACATTGCTTATTGGAGAGAAACTGGGGAGATTTACGTTAGATAAGATGCATAAAAACTGAGTAGCTTATTAGCCATCTTCCTATGTTGCATCTTCTGCACTTTGGCAACCTGAGAAAGAGTAAGAGGACATTTGTAGTTAACATTTTTTTCTTCAAATTATTTTGAATAAAGATTACTTTGAAGTTGAATATACCTGGAATATACAGTTTTTGATGCTTCTGTTAAACTATTATTGAACTGTAGACAGTTTAGAAAGGCAGCTAGGTGGCCAAGTTCAAAAGCAAAGATGTGTTTTAATTTCCAAAGGCAACCACTGTTGGAATTAAAACAAACCATTTGCCAAGGACGTGGTTGTAACTATTTTACCAGCCATTGAAGGAGCCATCTAGTTTATTTCCTTTTTTTATTTGTTCATTATCTTTTTCTTGCGTTATGGAATTAACTGCCTGTGGGATGTGCTCCTTGGGGCACATTAGTTCCTATATGTGCATGCACGAGTGAATGTAGCACTTTATGAAGAAATGCATCCTGCTCCCTATCCCTTCACAGCAACCTTCTTGACAGCGTCTAGGAAGGAGATTTTTCTTTTACCAGCGTACACATCCATCTCCTCTGCTGATCTGTCAGCTTTGAGTGGCCACTCCTGTGGTTTATCTTATCCTTTTGCATTTCTTGAGTATTTTTGAGTCCAGAAAACGTAGGAATGAGAAGCACAATGAGATATCAAGAAGTCATGGAATGGAATGTGGAGTCAATGAAATGGAACGTGGAAAAGCAGGAAAAAGCAAAAGGGAGAATAGTGCTCTTTGAATGAACAGCAGGACAAAATTGATGATATTGCCTATTAACAGTTGGCTTGAGTTTGTTAGTTAATCCTATCTGAACCATCCTTCTCAGCATATACTCTCTGTTATCTTTACTACAGATACACAGCAATATCTGTGCAGCATAAATTAGAAGAAATAACAGTGCTGAGCCACTCATTTGCTAGAGAGAGCAGGAATTCCTAGTTAGCAACTTCATTTTTAGGTATATGGGAGCTTAAAAATTAATCATGTTTAGTACTATGTCTATCAACCTCATAATCCACTTGTACTTGTTGCTCCCTATCTTCAAAAGCTTGTAGACTATACATATTCAGAAGAAGAATGGGAATTTACAAAGAATGGGGGAGAAACAAAGATGACGTCAAGTATGCATAGTTTTATGTGTTCCAAAGCATCTGATAAAGGTGCTGAACATATATTTGTAATCTAAGTTGATAATCTCCTACCAGTAACTGTTCTCTTCATGTGAGTTTCAAATTCTATGTTGTGAAAAGATAATTTAATAGGCACTGTTGCAGCCACTGAGGGTAAGGGAGCATCATGAAAGTAGAGAAAAGAATGGTCACCTCTGATGATGAATCAGCAGAAGCTGGAGTTACCTTTAATGTCCTTAGGGCAGCTAAGTGTTGGGACACAAAAATGATTAACCAGTGTTAAACCTGCAGCGCTTTGGTTGTTTCAGTAATACTGTTGAGTTTAGGGGTCACGTGCAGACAGGAGAGAGCCTTCATCCAGGATATGCTGGATTTTGGGTGTGATAAAGACCTCCTGAAGAAGGGGTGCATGTACAGGTGAAGGTGGTAGAGGGGTGCTGCAATGCCCTGTCACCAGATGGAAACTCCTTTATAAGGTTATACTGAACCTGGTGCTGAGCAAGGAAAAGATGTGAAATTCCTGTTCAGATTAGGGAATCAGTTGGGATGGGAAATAAAAATACTCTATTCGTGAGAAGATATGAGATATCATGGGTATGTGGACAAGTGTAGTGTGATGCTTCCTTGGATATATTCTTTCATCTTCAAACGGTTGATGAACAGGTGAATTCTTCAGTCAGAAATTACTCTCCTTTTTAATTCTTAATGGATAAAGAGTTGAAGACATTTACTCTTTTGAAAAATTTCCCATCTGTATCACAAGAAATGGGCATTTTTGGGAAGACTAATTATATCAGGTGTTTCCTCCTGTTGCAATTTGGAATTCTCTTACTGGGTTTTAAAACTCAGTTTTAAAAACTGGTTTGCAATTCTATTTGTACTACAAAATGAAAATTGTTGTAGTAGGAATGTTACCATAGCTGTATTTGTCTATGAGGCAACATCAAACTGACTAAATTTGTGGAATGTCAGTATAAGATGAATTTGTGTTTGTGAAGTTTTATTGTGAGAATCAAAAGCTTTTTAGTTCTTAAGCACTAATAGCAGTCTCTTATTAGACTTCTCATTTTAGAAAATAAGTGCGTCGTGTTGTTCCACTTCTGCCTCAATTTTGTTATACCTCCACTGTATTTTTTGTTTAATTCTGCTTTAAAAAAGATAGAGAAGTATTTGTTGGATTTCTAGAAAACCAATTTTGTTACTACAGTAGGAGGTCATAAGAGAAAAATGTTGTGTTTAGATAGTACTATCATTTTGATAATATCTGGTGTTCCTCCCTTCTGCGATAAATTAAAAGCTGAGTACCTCAAGAGTTCTGATAGTATTTCCAGCAGTGCAAGAGACCATTTTAAGCAGAAGAGCAATGAGAAAATCCATTAATCCCAGGGATATTTGAAGCCTGTAGAACTTCTTCATATTAAATTTGAGATAGAGCCTTCAGTATGATCTTGGTTTTGGAAACTGTTCTAAAACTATTGTTGGACAGATAAATAATGGTTCAAATTGAAGCTGCTCACAATGCCATGTTTATTGTTGAATTAATTTAACTGAAGCAGTCATTGTTTGTTGAATTAGATCCTAAACATAATCCTAGACACAAGATAATAGCTTTAAGACTAAAGGGAGTGGTTTGGTGTTTGGGTTTTTTTTTACTTCTTTTGTAACTGGGTAGATTCCTCTAGAGAAATAGATATGCTCAGCTGCAGTTTTTTTGTTTTATATCAAGGCTTCTGCTTTTATTAATTAAAAAATAGCACCTGTTCTGTCCCTTGTTTTTTTGGTGCAAGATTGTGATTTTTGGGAAGTCTACTGATTTAATAGTTAGTTATGTCATATCTGAAAAAAATATTTGAGTATCCTTTCATTTGTAGGCATTTTTATTGTATTTGAATTATTATTCCATATATTTTTAATGAGTCTACTGGAGAGTCACTTTTCTATTTCAGTGGGTTTTATATGTTATCCATAATGTCTTGAATATATAATTTTCTATGACAACTGAGAATGCCTTTTCAATTTCCAGGTTGTTTTAGAAATGTACCACTTTAGAAGCCTTATATTCATGAGAAGAGAAGGCAGGCATGGTTAGAAGTTATTGTAGGTGATTGTATAATTGTTTAGAGCATTCTGATAAAGTGTACCAAATGAGGTTTTCCACATGAATGTGTTGCTGGGTAGAGATAAGTTAGGGAGTGAGACTCATGTGTGGCATTGAAAATAGGAATAAAAGCAGCTCTAAGACATAGTAAACCATAAGAAGTAGTAAGACCAGAAGTCACAGAATCATAGGATGGTTTAGATTGGAGGGGACCTTAAAGATCTTCTAGTTCCAGCCCCTCTGCCATGGGCAGAGACACCTTACATTAGAACAGGTTGCTCAAATCCCTTTCCAACCTGGCCTTGAACACTTCCATGGATGGGAAATCCACAGCTTTTCTGGGCAACTGTTTCTGGTGTCTCACCACCCTCACAGTAAAGAATTTTTTCTTAATATCTAACCTAACTGTACCCTTTTCCAGTTTAAAGCCATTCCCCCTTGTCCTATCACAAGGACAAGGTAAAAAGCTTACAAGGTTTTAGCTCTTGTAAAAATCCCACTCTTCCAGTAGCAGGTATTTATTGAAGGACTTTTTCAAACAGCAACAAAAATAACCAAGCAAACCCCTAAAAAGAACCAACACAAAAATCCCCAACAAAACCCAATAAAACCTAACGTTATCTTCTTCCATCACCTGGCATTAGTGATTTATTTAAGAATTTTCCGAGTTCGGTGAGCTTGGGATATAATTCAGGACCTAGCACTGTAATTGAAATTGAAGGAGATAACCTCCCAGTATTTATCTGAGGCATAGTTGTCTTAATTCCCCTTCCTGGGGCTATGATTTTGAGTCATAAAATTAATCCTGTATATTTTTTTATGTTTCTTACTACTTTTCTTCTTCTTTAGCTTATTTTATGCAGTTACAAATTCCAGGCCTGTATAGTGTCTAGATTTATTTGAAAGCTAGAAGTAGGTCAGAGTTTCTCTTGTCACAGAACAAGTTGCCACTATGACAGAGATGCGTTACACTTACATGTGTAAAAGTCTACCCTTAAGACAACTACACACAAGTTGTCCACAAAACCACTTTCATAGTCAATGGAGACAATAAAGCCCTTACAGGACTACTGAAGTAGATGTCTAAAACAAGCTGGGTTAAATGCATGATTTCAGTTGGAGTATTCAGAAGCTCCTAGTATCTGACCTCTGATGCAAGTCCAGTTTTGTTATCAAAAGCTGGATGAGAAGAATTCCACTCTCAGTATCCCACAATTACAAGCTGAATGCTTCACAGTGCTCAAATTGTTTGGTACTTCCTGTTTTCTTTCCTAGAAATCTTCTTCCTTTTGAATGCAAAATTTGGAACACAAAAAAATGTTGTGTGGGAAGTCTTTTGTACTTTTTGTTTCCCCAGTGTTCAGAGGCTTATTTGGCCTTGATTTAGAGTTTTCTGGAGTGTCAGCAATATAAACATGTTGCAGAGGCTTGAGAAGGAACATGATTCAGAAACAAAAGACCTTCCTCTTTGGAATATTATAAAGAGAAACATGAGTTCTTAGATGGTTGCACCTTCCCTCTGTGTCAGTGGTGAATGAGCTTTCCTCGGGACGTGTGTTCCTTGGGACATACGTTCAAGAAACAACTGGATGTGGCTCTCAGTGCTGTGGTTTAGTTGATGTAGTGGTGGTCAGTCAAAGGCTGGACTTCATTATCTGAGAGGTCTTTTTCAATCTAAATGATTCTGTGACGCACTGTTACATTGGCTGGATTACAGGATACAATTGTCAGCTTTTATCTTCTAGTTTGTTGCTTGTATTAAGCAGATGTGTTTACTCAACAGTATATAATTAAAAATAATTTTTGTATTAGGAAATTACTTCAAATAGTCTGTTAGTATTGGGTTTATGGGTAGATAAGGTAATGCTCCTCTCCTAAAATTAATTTCTTACTTCCTTTTCAAGACTGGTGTGTTAGAGGAACACTTAAGAATGCATCTTCAGTGCTGTTTGACTTTGTGTAGTTTCTGGGATTTGAACCTATCTATTGTCACCATACTCTGGGATTATTACAGCAAGAATCTGGTGAGTAGATGAATATATAAAAATACAGAATTGCATGTGGGCAGTCCTTGAATTTTACTGATTAATTCTGATTTTTCTGTAGCCAAACTTGATTGCAAGTACTTCTGTAAAACTACCTAGTCAATGGCAGTATCCCTAAACTTGCTATTTATTTAATGAAGTCATGTTTAAATTTATGCTTTGGTCCATGACATTGTGTGTCAATGGAATAAGTTATGTTTTTATTCTTACTTTTTGTCAGGACTCTTGATTTTAAAATCTTGTAAAAACACTTCCTACATAGTTACAATAAAATTTTATTTTTTAGTTGTGGTAGGAATATATCCTTTTGTTTGTGTGAAGGTTTGCATCTTATTGCACTTGGAGTATTAGCATTTACTGTTACTTATAATCTTTCTGTTTTCATTTATTCTTTTAGAACAGTGGCTTTACTGTTCCTTGGCTTGGTCTGAAGGATCTGGCAAATGTTAGTAAGACTTCTTTGTCAATGCTTGAGTTGGTGAAACGTTGCTGCTGCGAACAACAGATCCCTTCTCTGTACAAGTCCAGCAACAGTTACTTCATTTTTCTCTGCATTTTGGCACGGATGATGAAAGAAGAAAACAGTGGCATGCACCCTTGGAAACAAATTAAAGGACGGTATGGCCACTGTTTAGTTTCTCTCCTCTTGTAAGAATTGTAGGGAGTCAGTGGCCCTTCCAGCCACATGCAAGGCCTGCCCATCAGAAAGTAAGGGGGATGAGGGATCCAGGATGATTAATGATTTAAAGAAAGCGGTTCCCTGAAGTTTCTGTTGCCAGCTGAGGCTGTAACAGGGTCCAAGAGCTGGGTCCAAGAATCGCCTTGGCATCCCTAGCCTGTGATGATTTACTTTGTCCTGCTGGCCAGGAGTTTGGTACACTGGCAACCTATGCAGTGGTACAACCCAGTTGCCAGGCAGGTAATGTAATAAAAGCACAGAAATTGTGTTTGAACTGCATATAAGCCATGTGTTGTCCAAGAGCATGCAGACTGACACTTGGTAGGCCTGTGATTTCATTTATATTTAGTTTCTTTTTACTGATTTCCAAAATTTCTCACAATATTTTTTGTGAGGGTTTTAGTTTTTTCGCTTAATTTTGAAACATACTAATTAAGAATTATAGTCAGTTCTTATATAAAAATACCTCAAAATATATACGATCTAAATAAAACTCTTGATGTTTTATATACTTACTGAATCCCTGAGACTTTTATTATAGTAATGAGATTGTACTAAGTATTACAAGTGCTAACTTTTAATATTTTTTCATTAGATATAGAAGACTTAGAATTAGTTTTGGTTTACAGTTTTTTTAAAAAAGATCGTACTAAGTATTAATACAATTAATTAAAATTTTAGTAAATATTAGATCTTTGTGTATGCAAGTAATAAATACATAAGAAACTGCCCATGTGTATGCATACCTCACCAAGTTATATGGTGTCTTTTCCAAGAAAGCAGGGTTATTTTAGCTATTAGAAAAGTATACCTGTCAAAATGTAATGTCTGTGTACACTTTACAAGTTGTTATAGTCAGTAAAGTTTGGGTTTTAAAATCACTACAACTACATAGAAACAAATATGTTGGATTTCGTATCAGTGTCTTGCTTTATTTTGTGATTTTAATTAGCCTGCTCTGTTCTTACTGAAAGAAAATTATACTTACATTTTGTGCTATTATAGCTTGTTGCTTTCCCTAATTTAAGAGGGGGAATAATAATACACAACGCTCAGTGCATCAGTCTGCTCAGCCAGTATTCATAATTTCTACCTTGAAAAAATCAATTACACAAGTAGCAAAATTTAACAGCCTACAGCTATGATTTTGGGATGAACTCTGTTTTCGATGGCTAACCAAGCATTAATTGATGCATGAAAAACGTAAATGCCTGTCAGTACTAATTTACTACTAGACAACATTAATTGGATTTGCTGTAATTTTTGGTGGCTAGATTTGATAGCTTCAGCACCATTTCCAACTATTTTTCCAGGTGACAGAGTAGGAAAACAGCATTTATGACTGTTTAACTTGTGTATGTGGAACTTACTTTAAATTAAAGGTGAAGGATATACCCAAGGTTTTAAACCTACAAATCAAAAAGTCAAGCAAGCCATTTTCATCTTACTCCTCTGTTGTAGGAATGGTGTCATTTATTTAAAACTCCAGACCCAAGCAAAGGTCACAGAAAAGATGTCTTTGTAAAAGCTTACTGTTTTGTCAACTACTTTAAAGTTCCAAAGTAACAGTGCTTTTCACCATCAGCTACTTATGACTTGAGCACTGTCCCATAAGCAATACAGGTAAAGTTTACCATCTTCCTGCTGGAGAGAGGTTTCTCTTCCAAATGCCTCAGTTTCCCTGTTTTCTTCCAAACTTGTAGTCCACAGTTCATTCCGTAGGTGTGCAATGCAGGTTGATACAGACTTTGGCAAAGCACTGTGGAGAAAAGAATTTTCTTTTAGAAATGTTCCTCTCCCATTTACTGCAGTGTTGGTTTGGTAGGTGAGACTTTGATCACAGCAGCTGTGGAAGTATACCATAACAGAAACCAGTAGCTAATTTTCACATGGAAATGAGGGAGTTTCTAGGGAAGAAGTTGCAAAGAGCTGCTACTTGGCAGCTTTCTTTCCTAGCGGCCCTCATGGGCTAAACTTGATTGATTTGAAGGCATGGAGGACACCCATCAAAAGCAGAGAGTCTAGACATGTACACTGTGCTCAACTGTGTACTAAAGGTTGGATAGGGGAGAAGGATTAGGCTGCACCTCATATTGGAAACACTTAACATGTAGCTAAAAATAGGAGCAGAACATAAAGGAGTGCATTTGTTGCAGTAGCCAAAAGAATAGGAGAGAGAAATAAGGGTATTCAAAATTTATGCATTATTGGAAGAGGATAATTGCAAACTAAAAGCATGAAAATACAATTTTAATCTCTCAAGCAGATAGAAAAGTTAAGAAACTTACTCTTTCCTGTTTTTTTTGTTTGTTTCTTTGCTTTTCTTTATGTAGAATTTATTCCAAGTTCCATCGCAGAAGAATGCAGGAGCTAACAGAAGTGGGGCTGCAGAACTTTTTTAACCTGTTCCTCATGCTAGCAATCGTTGCGGAGACAGAAGATATAGTGAGTCGAGTGTTGGATCTTTTGGATTTCCTGGCTCCATCCTCCATCACTGTGTCTCAGAGAGCTCTCATCTGGAGAGGTCATTTTGCTTTCCTTTTGATTTATGTTGAAAAGAACATGGACATTAGTGTCCTAGCTGAGAAAATCTCAAGTGCTTTCCGTGAGAAGGCAAAGGAGTTTTTAGTAAACAAAAATGACTACACACAGAGACACAATCTCTGGACTCTACTTTCGACCTACATTGATGGTGTCCAGGAAGTGTTTGAGACTAGCTGCTACTTGAGCCTTTCTGAGGAAAAGTTGCTAAATGATGGCTTTACTATGCTGCTGCCTGCTTGTCAAGGAGCTGAGCTGAGCATGGTCCTGAATTTTCTTCAGGTTGTACTAGCCAGACTTCGGTAAGTTATTTATAAATTGTGCACATAGACTGGCATGTTGTTTTTGTTTTTAGGGTTAAACTGTAGTTCGTATTAATTTTTAACTGAAATAGACTAAAAGGAAAGAGAAATCTCTGGAGGACTGTGAATGATATGTTAAATTTCAAAATCCACCAATGCTTCAGTGCATTTCGAAACTCAGAAATTTTTCCTTACTGTTTCAGGAGATTAGGTTTGACATCCTGAGATTTTGTTATGAATTAGTGACTCTTTAGAAAGTCATCCAGTTGCTACTATTTCAGACAATATCATCTTTCCTTTGGGACAGGGAACTTCAAAATTATTTTCTGTATTAAATTACTTAAGTTTGGAGGGTTGTTTTTTTGGGTTTGTTTCTTGACCGAATGTATTCTGTTTTTCAGACTCTTCATTCTGTTTTTTTCTCTTTCACCAAGGTTGCATTCAAATACCACAGTTATGGAGATTTAAATACTTGTCTGGGGTTTAATAGGAAAGAAGGAAATCATATTTTACCACTTCAAGCAGTTTTGCTTTGATGTACTAGTTCATTTTTCAACATCCACAGTGCCCTTCAATAAGCATATTTTTTGTCTACTGATGCCTTTGAGAAGCAGTTCTCCAGTTTGAAGCCCAAACTGCCTTTTTTTATAAGATATTAAGAGGCAGCTATTGATCTGCCATTACTTGAAATGTGCAAGACTGAAATATGTGTAAAGAGCTATGGAAGAGTACATAATAGGAATACTGAGGCCCATATGCAAGATCTCTCTTTAACTAGGTCCTTTGTTATTGTCTAGTAGTTTGACTGCAGCTGTCAATAGCTTATAGATCCAAAGACAACTGTTTTTCAGGCAGCCTTTTGAAAAAAGATGAAGCACAAAACTAAGTTTAGTTGATTTATTATTTATTATTTCAGTTCAACTGAATGTATTTCCTGGAATAAATTGGAGACTTCAAAAATACTTTGACATTTTCTCCATTAGCTAATGCACAGCATTTGTTTTGTTGTTTTTAAAGATGAAATAGGGAGAAATTTGAGACTGGTGAAAAAGTTGCCTATTTCATAACTTGGCATTATTTCAAAAGCTTTCCAGTACCGGGGGTTATGTTGCCCTCTTGTAGCATAGAGAGGAGGGCATAGAAGTTCATTCCAGCCTTCTCAGCTGGAATGAGATGAGGTACAGGACAGTATTTGTACCTTTTCTTACAAAAAACAGTTCTGCTGAAATATTTTAATTATCAACATGCTTAAATAGTAATTGATATGAGAGAGATTATTGGAGTCTTGCTTTTAACAGTTCTTTATTGCAGCTTCTGTATTTGTACATTTGGTTACTGTTATCAGCCTATTTATCCCATCTACAGAGAAACTGAATTCCTGAACATTTAGCTCTACTCTGCGCTGGTGCAACTTCACCTTGAATATTGTGTGCAGTTTTGGGCACCACAATATAAGATATCAAGCTGTTGGAGGCTGTCCAAAGGAGGGCAACAAAGATGAAGGACCTTGAGGGGAAGCCAGATGAGGAGTATCTGAGGTCATTTGGTCTGTTCACCCTGGAGAAGAGGAGACTGATGGGAGACCTCTTTCCAGTTACAGCTTCCTTCTGAGGGGAAGAGGAGGGGCAGGGCCTTTAGTTGTGTCAGGAAAGGTTTAGGTTGGATATTAGAAAAAGATTCTTCACCCAGAGAGTGGTTGGGTACTTGAACAGGTTCTTCAGGGAAGTGGTCACAGCACCAAGCCTGTCTGAGTTTGGACAGTACTCTTGGGCACATGGTGTGACTTTTGGGGAAGGTCCTGTGCAGGGCCTGGAGCTGGACTTGAGGATCCTTGTGGCTTCCTTCTAACTTGGCATATTCTGTGATAAAATACTTTGATCTTCAGGTTGTATGGAACACAGAAATATTACTGATTCTCTCTCCCACTTGGACAGACTCACTGAAAATAGTCCTCTGTTGCCATGTAAATAAAACAACACTAAAATCGCTTTCTTGGTTCAAAAGATGTGGATGACTTTGTGCTAACCATATGTTCAACTATTATTGGCTTGACTAGACTGATTAGGCCTGGTCTGTCTGCAGACTGAAAAAAGGATCAAATGGTTCAATGCCCTTTTTAAAAATCCAGGCTGATATAAGCTACTAGGACTTTCATAAATGTAATTTCTCTGTACACCACAGTCTAATAATTTTATAATTGTATGACAGAGATTTTACAGGTAGGAATGAAGTGAGATTACTGATTAAAGAGAGAAGCAGCTCCCTCTAGGCTGTTAGGAAATAATAACTTCATGTGCCACTTTCTGCTAACCCCAGATGATGGCTCACAGGTGCATTCTTTATTGCTGATTAAGTAGCATTATGAAAATACTGACTTGGTTACATTAACTAAATGCCTCAGTATTTTAAGCTTAAAATAGCAAATAGTTTTAGCAATCCCCTTTAACATATCTTGTTGGATTGCTGGAACCTCACTCCAGGTTTCCCAGTTGCTTTTCTTTGAGGATACTGTAAAAATTCCAGTCTTTCATTTTCAGAATGAGGTGCAGCCAAAAGCTCTTCTTTAATTATAGCTATTCATGCTGCTATAGTTAAGGTCTGTCAGCATTTCCGTTATAAACCTTTATTTTCAAGGGTTTGTAACACAGCAGCGAAACCTTGCTCTGGGCTAAAACTTGGCATACAAGTGTTTGAAAGTGCACTTGTTTTCTTTCCTTCTTTTTCTTAAAAGGCATCTGAAAAGAGATCCTCACCTTCACCATTGTTACCCTACTGTGTTTCAGAATAACCCTTTCCAGATTTTTCTTGTATTTTACTTATCTGCTAGAAAAGTGCTAGTAGCTCTTGATTGTTGTATTTACCTATGCTTAGACTGTTTTAAATAAGCTTTCTTAATCCACTTTTCTTATTTATTGTTACCATTTTGATTATTTTGGTGTCTATATATTTAAATAGAACTCTGACTTGGCAGGAGAATTCATTTTTATCAGTTTTTGATGTGTGGTGACTGGATAAGTGGCACTTGCAAGTATTTGATCTTCACAGTGAGATTCAGTATGAACTGTAAGGTGGTATTTTAATACAGTCTCCTTTTTAAAATATGTATAATAAACAGTAAACAATCAGGAAACTCCCAGAAATAAAAATGTGAAGTACTTGCTTCATATGTTTACTTGAAGGATTCAGCTTCTAGCTTGGACATAATTTTTTCCCTTTTTTTTTTTTTTTTTCCTCCTGTTTTTAAGCAGTGTTTTAGAATACTGGTTTTTTTTTTCCTTTTTTTCCTGAAAAGTAAATGCAGGATGCTTGCCCATGTATGCTTTCATTTGTTCCAGATCTCTTGCACTACCTGTCATCTGCATGTCTGATGGCACAAAAAGAAAAACCCTAGGTTAATAAAAATATGGCATTAAATGGATTTGACAGAACTTGCTGTAAAAATGGACACAAGACCTGGAGAAATCTGCTGTAGGTTCTGGCACTTCAATATGTTACTCTTAAAAGAAGTGTTTGAAACATGCAAAAATGTCTTTTATTGCAGCCAGTTATTGCTGCTCTGACATGAGCATTCTCTTATTCTCATCACCTTGGCATTTGGGTTTTGTGGTGTGTTAGGACAAAGTTACAGGACTACAAAATATGAGTACGCACCCAGGTGTAAAATCACTACTGTGCTCCAAACATCTTTGCCTAGTTTCAGGGAGACCTGCTACTGATTCTCATAGCAGAAATGAGAAGTACCATAAACCTTAATACCTTAATAAGCAGTAATTTTATTTTGAAAACAATTCTTGTGTATTTATGCCCATTTGTTGTACGTTTTTTGCTGATTTTTTTAAAATGTTGCTTTGTTAATTTCATAAGCTCTTACAGGAATGCTAACTAACCTGTCTCTAGTTGGAAGTTGCTTTAATAATTGGGCCATGGATAACAGCAGAACTGGATGTTTCCATCTGTAGAGTGTGTTTAGCCTTGAGGTTGTAAGAGAAATCGCGATAGGAATGGATTATCCAGTATATCTTTGCTATGGAAATGTATAGTCATTTGTAATTTTTTTTGCGTTGTACTTGCCATCAAAATAGCCTGTGGGAAGCTTTTCCGAGACCAACAGAAGCCTCTCTCCCCCTCTCTGTTGCTGTGTAAGTCAGCAGATAAGCTCAGGAGGAGAATAGAAAGGTCCTCCCTCCTTCTTTTCTTGCCCCTCAGGGGTTTTCGTGTTAGTCTTTGCAAAAATCTTTTTTCTGATGTTGAGCTTCTGAAAACTATATTCAGAAGAGTTTGGAAGAGCATGAGTCTTCTCTTACCCATCCCATCCTGTGAAGATATTTAGAGCTACCAGCTGCGATGTCCTGATAAGCACAGAAGGCAATTCTGTGACTAAGCCACTGAACTGAGAGTCAAATGATGTTAGTTTGGCTCTGAGATCTCCCAGGCTTAATGAATGACCATTAGAAAGTCATTAAAATTTTCTATGAATTTTGTTTACCTCTGTGAAAAACATGAAATAAATCCTTCCCTTTTCACTTCACAACATACATCTTATGCTTGGGAAGCAAGTATGCCTTGCTGTGCTAACTTGACCTATGGCTTAAAGTATTTTTAGTGGTGTTTTTTTTTTTCAAATTCAGGTGTTCCATAAATAAAACTGATGTTTGAATGACTGCAATAAACATGTAGTCTCTAAATGCTTTAATGCATGGGAAGTAAGCACTGCTGTAGAATATAGAAGCATTTTGAGAGGTTTATTTTGTCTAAATCCTTAAAAACAATCTGTTACTCTCTTATGAGGGAATATTGTGTGTGTTCTACAGTTGTTGCCTTAAGGTGTGGCTCTTACAATTAAAACTGAATTTTCTTTTCCTCTTCTGCCTATCTTATGTGGGATTTTTTTTTTCCCAGGTTTTTATTGAGGTTCTTAAATAACATTTTACACCTTTGTCCCTTGTATTCTAATCTTCAAAGGTGACTAGATAAAACTCATGTGTGTTTGGATTGTTTCC